CTCCAAGACGGCCAAGATGACCTTCAAGACGCCCACGTGTTCCCCGAAGGCTTTCCAAACCGATTCGGGGAACACATGGTCCGATGGCTTGGTGGCTAAGATGGCCCAAGATGGCCTCGAAGATGGTCCAAGATGGCCACCAAGTCCGCCCAAGATGGTCCAAGACGGCCTCCACGACGGCCCAATAGATTCCAAGACGGCCCAAGACGGCCCAAGAGGCCCCCCAGAGGCCTCCCAGACGGCCCAAGAGGCCTCCAAGAGGTCCTCCAGGAGGGCCCGAAGAGGCCAACATCATTGAATGTTCCTTGGTTTTTTTAAAGACTTTGGAATGTGCTTCTTCTCGGCATTCCGACGGCTCCAGACGGCCCAAGAAGCCCCCAAGATCGCCAAAGAGGCCCCCAAGAGGGCCCCATGACGGCCAAAGTGGCCTCCAAGATGGCCCCAAGAGGGCCCCAGGACGGCCGAATAATGGTCAGCACTTTTTCCCAGGAGAGTGCTGGGGCGACGAAGACAAGAGGCGCGTGGATCGTCCACGCAACCCACACCACCACGCAGCGAAACGCAAGAGTTCAAAGAGAGGCCTTGGGCTGGCGAGGGCAGAAGCGATGGCTACAGAGCGTGAACAAGCGGGCGTCTGCGTGGAACAATCCCGCGCAGCTGCTATGTTCAACACTTTTTTTTCCCAGGAGAGCGCCGGGGCGACGAAGACAAGAGGCGCGTGGATCGCCCACGCAACCCACCTCCATCCGAAGGGCCCGCCACCAAGCAATGCACTGGATCACCGCATTAGATCCCAAAGACGATGGGCGCGCAAGGCTAGGTAGCTGCGCGAGAACTCTCGCGCCAGCGCAGCGCGCAGACGTGGGGGGTAAGCCGACTTAAGCTAGGTCGAGAAGCCCGCTTTGGCGTTGCCAGAAAGCATTGCGCGCGGCTTACCAGTGAACGAACAAATACCACGGCCTGTGCAACGCCATTGCAGCAACTCTGAAGGCACAGCGAGATTAGCCAAGGCCATGCGGGCGCGAGCACGAAAGGGGCGCCCCGCCCCGCAGTAGTCAAACACTATTTCGTTGACACAGGCGTGCTTGCAAAATCGCTTGCGACTGGGTAAAAGCCAGAGAAGACTCCATGCGGGGTTCTCTTCTCTTGCAGGCAGCTGGCGAGAGATCGCAAGCTGTAAAAGCGACGCGAGTGTGTCCGCAAGTTTGTTAGAATCTAACGCATCTTGACGATCGGCACCCTCGAGGCCAGGGAGGCCACGAGGGTGCTCTCTCGCACGAAGGCGGCGAGGCATGATACTGCGCGGCGGCGCTCGGCGTGCCTGCGACCAGTTCTCGCAGGGACTGCCTGAGAACATTCCCCAACTGATGCCCGACTCGAGCCAGCCACGCAGGACGCGAAAAAACCTCACCACGCAACAAGTCGTACTCTGGCCCGAGCAACCGATCACTAGAAACAACTGCATGGCCTTTCTTTTTGAATGCAGCGGCAAGCCCGCCCGAGCCAGAGAGGAGATCGAGCAAGGCTCTCCGCTCCCCGAGCCCGCTCTCACGCTGGGCGGCTTGAAGGCGCTGCCGAAGAGCAGCGGGGCGGCTATTGCCCAGCCCGCGCAATTGGCTCACTGCGAGTCGCTGAGGCTTCGGATGGCTACAGCCAGCCGCACCCCTTCGCATCGCGTGACTGACGAGGCGGCGCGCCGCATCCCCCTCCGTGGTACCGCCAGCAGAGATCGACTGCCCTCCGCGCGGTCGCGGGTTGCACTTCCGTGGCGGAGGCAGCGCGGCGTGAAGCCCAAACCGTCGAGCTTGAACTACTGCGAGAAACGGTGGAAGTCGGCTAGTAGCTGCACGTAAGAGTGGCGAAACAGCGGATCGTCCTCCCGAAGTAGCGACTGCAGGCGAAGCGCGACACGCCCAATCCAGTGATGTCGTGGCAGGACGAACGCAACTGTCGAGTCGAACTCCAGCGCCAGCGCCAGCGCCCATGGCAGCGGCAGGCGGAAGTGCCCAGGCTGTAGACGCGTCCAGCTTGCCAGCGACGCGTGCGCCGAGGGGAGGAGCCGCCCCGCGGTGCCCTCGCGGGCAGGCCCCCCCCCAAGCCACGGCGCAGCGGGTGCGCGAGAGCATCTCTCTCCCCGTGCCGCGGTCGAAGGCGCACTCCGCGTAGTCGACCAGCATGCTGCCCCACTGCGGCGGCGACCACTGCGGCAGCGCCGTCAGCTTGAGGGGGCCCAAGAGGGAGGTGATCGCCCGCAGGTAGGCGCGCTCCTTGGCCGGGCGCGCCCTGGCAGCTGCCAGCCGCGAGAGCCGCGGACAGAGCTGCGCCCACTGCCCGCTGGATCTGAAGGGCCCTGCGATCACTGGCGCTCGGAATGCCCAGCCCGGGCGGGCGCCCGAAGGGCCGAGCAGCTCGCGCCCGTCTGCTGATCCTGAGACGCGCGGGGTGGACGCTCTCAGCTGTGGCTGCTCTCCATCGCGGCTTCGCATCGCGAAGTCGGAGTTGATCTGCGAAGTGCGAGCCCGCGTTGATGTCGTCGTTCGAGCCGATGATACGGAAGAGGGGCCCTTCCCGAGAACGTCGCGGTGAGGGGTCTTCACGTGGCGAGCCTGAGATCTTGGCATAAACCTTCGTGAGGGGGCATCTCCAGGGTTGAGCTCCGAAGGTATCTACCGAAACCTGAACTGGACCCCAGTGGCAAGCGAGGTGGCGCACGCTTCACGGCAAACGCTGTTCAGGGCAAAGTGAGCGGCTCTTCCTTTCTCACAAGCACACCACCCCGAGGTCGTCGCCCAGGACGAGGTGCCGCTGACCATGCAACTGCGCATGCCGAGCTAGACGCCGCACGGCCCAGCGCGCACCCTCAGCCTCAAGGATGTGAATCGCAGCCGCGCGGCGCCATCGCCTCGCTGCCACCGCGGCCCAAGGCTCCGCCAGCAGCCGCCCTGCGGGCACCCCCTCAAAATGCGCGAGGGCGCCCTCCGCCACCACTGCTGCAGAGGGCGCCCGCAGGAGCTGCTGCTCGACCAGCGTGTCCCGTGGCGCGTAGTCCGCCGTGAGGGCGCCTCGAAAGCGGCTGCGCTCTGAGAGGCTCCCAACACGGCGAACGTCTCCCACGGGCCAGGGCTGCCCCGCCACCCCGAAGCCCCACGGCGAGGCATCGGCGGCCGTGACACGCTCGCACCAGGCGCGGCTCAGCGAGGCGGTCACGCAAGGAAGGACCGCTCGGAAGCAAGCAAGCTCGTGCTTCGCCGAGCTCCACAGCGGCTGCCGCTTGTCACGCGAGCGCCTGCAGAACTCATAGATGGCGTGAAACAGGGAGAGCATCGGTCGCTGAAGCATGACTGCGGACGTGATGTGGTCCATGAGCCAATCGAGCTCGCGCCCCGTGACCAAACGTCCGGGCGCCAGCGCAAAATCGAGACTAAACTTCAGGGGCCAGAACTTGCTCCTCGACAGGCGCCACGTCGCCGAAGGTTTGTGCAGCGCGAACACGAGCAAGGTGTGGAGGTCCCCGTCATCACTGTCAAACGAGGCCTGGATACCTTGCCTGTCCAAAGCGGCAGGCATGCGCTCAACCTCGAGGACCGGATCGCCGCCGCCAGAAGTAAAGACCGCGACGTTGTCTATGTGCAGCATCTTGGCCGCGGCGCACTGGGGGCCGAGCGCAGGCGTAGGCACCTTGTCGGCAATCCACGGCGCCTCAGGACTGACGCTGCTCAAGATGTGGGCGTGGGCCTCCTGGATCAGATGCACTGCCCATGACCAGCCCATGGGGCCCACTCTGGCCACAAAGTGCACCATCTCAGAGACGTCCGCAATGCCCAACCGCCGCCGAGTCTCAGGCTGAAGAAGACGTGCCTGCACCGCGGGGAGGCCAAAGAACAGGCGCGCCCACGGAGGCAGCTCATACTGGTAGAAGCAGCAGTCCACGTCTGCAGACGCCACCGCGACGCCCTGTGCAGCGTCTACTTCCAGGTTGGCGAGCGCCTCGCCGCTTGCCAGGAGCGTGCGCGGCGGGTCCTGAAAGTGAGCGTTCGACCTCCTGGTGTCGAAGATCAAGCGCAGCGGTGCGTTCTTCTTCGGCACAAAGAAGAGGCCCGCCCGCTCAATGACGCTGCCCTCGCCCACGCGCTCGATGACGCCCGCGGTGAGCAGCTCCGAAAAGGCACTCCCCATAGTGGTAGCCGTGGCGCTGCAAAACTGGGCCCATGGCACAGACCCTTGGCGCCTCGCCCAAAGCAAAACTGCGAGCCACCGGCTCTCGTAACATCTGCGAAGAATCTGACAGGAGAGACTGCAGGTGCGGGGGCAGCACGTCACTGAGACGCACGCGCCCAGCCGCAGCCCGCGGGAGCGCCATCGCCCCCATCCTGTAGGTCGTCGTTGCGCCGTCGGCCATGGCGTCTGCATAGCCCGTTCCGCGAAGCCTGGAGCGTCTGCCACGCCCCAATGGGGGGTCAGGTCAGCTAGCGGCTGCTCAACCCTGCCGCGCAGCTTCGCGAGATGCCGCACCGCCGCCGTCTGACGCGCAGCTGGGGCTCCAGCTGGCGCGCCGAGGCCGCGACCGCCCAAGTCGTTGAGCGCAGAAATTCCCTCGCGAAGCCACACCTCCTGCCGACGCCGCAGTCGCCCGCGCCGCCCCCCGCCGTGGGGCAGTAGGCGGGCTGCCGCGCCACGCAGCAGCTCATCCAGCGACTCGCCGACTGGAAGAGGCAGGACATCACGCGCCAAAGCCGAGTCCCAGACCCCATGCGCCGAGGCCGCCGTGCCCACCACAGCGGCGGCCCCCCCTGAAATAGCGCCCGCTGCCCGGGGGGCTGCAACGGCCGCGCACAAGCCGATGGAGAGGAGGCGGGCTAGCCCCGGCCACGGCCGCGGCCACGGCCTCGGCCTGGGGGGCCCGCGCCACCTCCTCCGCCTCCGTCGCCGCCGCCAGCGTCGGCAGCGCTGCTGATCTCACCGCGCGCCAAGCGGCGCTCCTCCCTGCCTGTGCGCCTGTCCTTGAGGATGGCGCTCTCCTCCTGCATTCGTTCGGCGACGTGCTTCTCCAAGGAGGGCGCCACGAGCGCGTGGCCCTTGGTCCGCGCGCTTCCCGGGAAGATGCGGCGCTCGTCCAGCCAGCCGTCCGAGTCGGCTGCAGCGCCAGCGGTCCCTGCAACCTCGGCATGACGAAGGGCCTCCGAATAGACCTCCTCCCAGAGCTGGAATCGCCTGGCCGCGAGCTCGAACGTTTCGCAGCCCGGGAGGTTGAGCTGGTCGGCGGTCGCCGCCGTCTCCAGGAGCTGACACAAGAACAAATATTCGTCGACCCTGGGGTCGGCGGCTGCCAATCCCAGGATCTGTCTCCACCAGTAGTGGCGCTGGACAAGCCCGCCGCCTTGCTCCAGGTGAGCCTGCAGCAACCAGCCGACGGTGGCGGGCCCTTCGATGCGCCATTCCTTGGTGTCCATGGCCTCCGGCTGCTCAGCCACGACCTCCGCGAACGCCCGTCGCCGCTGACCAGTGCCGCTCCTGCCATACTGCACGATCCGCTCGTCCAGCACGGTAGCAGCACCCTCACGCGGGGACATTGGCAGCTCCTCCAGCGTCCCTGCGCGGCCCAGGGCGATGACCCCGTCGGGGAAGGTCGCGAGCGCACGATCCCCGCTGGCGTGCACGGTGGCGAGAGCCACATCCACCGGCGCCCCCCGCGAGAACCCCAAGCGCGACTCCAGCGCAACCCAGCCGACATCCAGCCAGACTGGCGGCAGCGGCGCGCCACCCGGGCCAGAGCGCGGCGGCGGCTGGGGCGCTGGGGGCGCCAGCGTCTGGCCGTCCTCGCGCTCCGCGTCTGAGCCGCCGGGCGTGGCCGTGCCGCCAACCAGCGGGGCTGAGTGCGCAGGGGCCTGGACCTGCTTCCCCCGGAGGCGGCGAGCAAAGGGAAGCCCCGCGCGCCCCCGCTCCGCAAGCTGAGCCCCCTCCGCGGCCAGCGAATCCAGCGTGACCGAGTCCATGTCGAAACGGTAGAGCAGCCGCTTGCGCAAGTGCGGCGGGGGCCCGCCTCGAGGTCCGCAACGATGGACCTCAGCGTGATCTCCGTCGCTGAGGCCCTCGACATAGACGTCGCCGTCAGGCGTCGCCACAGCCCAGAGTGACCCGACCACGCGCCCGCACAGCAGGCGCTCGTGGTAAAGATTCCCCTCCGGATTGCACAGGCAGAACACCCGATCCCCTGGCCGCACCGTCATCTTCATGGGCTCGGAATTGCGCAGGACCGCGGCCATGGAGTCGACCAGCCAGGAACCCGCGCGCGAAGGCCGCCAGCGCCGCAATCCAGCCGATGATCACGACCTCCCAGAACGCCGAGGGGCAGTCTCGGGGCGGCGCACTGCGCAGCTGCTCAGGGCCACACCTGTCCAGTTGCCTTTGCAGCAGCGTCACGAGATCCTTGTCGTGCCCGGCGGCGCATGTGCACGTACAGTGACAATCACGCTGGAACGAGTTCCAGAGGTTGGCTGCGCAAAGCCCTGTGGTGGCCCAATCTCGCACTTGGTAAAGCGCGGGAGCGAGAAGGGCCATCACCAGCGCAGCTCGATCAGAAGCGATGGCTACAGAGCGTGAACAAGCGGGCGTCTGCGTGGAACAATCCCGTGCAACTACTAGCCACCAACGCGCCCAAGATGGCCTCCAAGACGCCCAAGATGGCCTCCAAGACGGCCCCGAAGCGCCCCAAGAGGGTGTTGGCCCAGAAAGGCCCCCAAGACGGCTCCCGACGGCGTCAGACGTGCCAGGAACCCACCAAGATAGCCGAAATTGGCTCGAAGCTGGCCCAAAAAGGCCCATGAGGCCCCTAATAGGGCCTCCCGGAAGGCCAGAAGAGGCCAAAAACATTGATGTTCCTTAGGTTTTTGACTGATTTTTGCATTTCCTCCTTTTCGGCCTTCCGACGGCCCGAGACGGCCCAAGAGCCCCCAGAGATCGCCGAAAGATCGCCCAAGAGGCCTCCAAGACGGCCAAGATGACCTTCAAAATGCCCGCGTGTTCCCCGAAGGCTTTCCAAACCGACTCGGGGAACACATGGTCCGATGGCTTGGCAGGTCTGGCCTCCGCGTTCGGCCACGCAGGCGCTTCCACAAAGGCAGGGCGCGGCGGTGATTCGCCGTGGGCGTCTTAGATCCGCCGCCCCCTTCTGCTTCAGCAAAGGAGTGCCCGGCGTGCAGGACCCTATCAGTTTTGGTTTTGGTTCTTTGTCCAAAAACAACTCTCCCGGTGGGTTTCGGCACGTCCCGCCGGGATTTTTTCCAAGGCCCCAATTTTCGCCCCGGGCGGCTCCAAGATGGCCTCCAAGATGGCCAAGATGGCCCAAGATGGCCTCCAAGATGGTCCAAGATGGCCTCCAAGTCCGCCCAAGATGGTCCAAGGCGGCCTCCAAGACGGCCCAAGAGAGTCCAAGACGGCCCCCCAGAGGCCCCCCCAGGGGCCTCCCAGACGGCCCAAGAGGCCTCCAAGAGGTCCTCCAGGAGGGCCCGAAGAGGCTAAAATCATTGATTTTCCAGAAGTGTTTGAAGGATTTGGGAATTTGCTGCGTCTCGGCATTCCGACGGCTCAAGACGGCCCAAGAGGCCCCCAAGATCAACCAAGAGGCCCCTAAGAGGGCCCCATGACGGCCCAAGTGGCCTCCAAGATGGCCCCAAGAGGGCCCCAGGACGGCCCAGGGGGCCCCCAAGACGCCCAAGATGGCCTCCAAGACGCCCAAGCTGGCCTTCAAGACGGCCCCGAAGCGCCCCAAGAGGGCCCCCCGTTGGCCCAGAAAGGCCACCCAGACGGTTCCCGACGGCGTCAGACGTGCCAGGAACCCACCAAGACGGCCGAAGTTGGCTCGAAGCTGGCCAAAGACGGCCCAAGAGGCCCCCAAGAAGGCCACCAGGAAGGCCAGAAGAGGCCAAAAACATGGATTTTCCTTAGGTGTTTGACGGATTTGACATTTCCTTCTTTTCGGCCTTCCGACGGCCCGAGACGGCCCAAATGCCCCCAAAGATTGCCGAAAGATCGCCCAAGAGGCCTCCAAGACGGTCAAGATGACCTTCAAGATGCCCACGTGTTCCCCGAAGGCTTTCCAAACCGATTCGGGGAATACGTGGCCCGATGGCTTGGCAGGTCTGGCCTCAACGCTCGGCCGCACAAGACGGCCAGGATGACCTCCAAGACGGCCCCAGATGGCTTCCAAGTCCGCCCAAGATGGTCCAAAACGGCCTCCAAGACGGCCTCAGAGAGTCCAAGATGGCCCAAGAGGCCCCCCAGAGGCCCCCCAGAGGCCCCCCAGACGGCCCAAGAGGCCTCCAAGAGGTCCTCCAGGAGGGCCCGAAGAGGCCAAAACCATAGCTTTTCCACAAGTGTTTAAAGGATTTGGGAATTTGCTGCTTCTCGGCATTCCGACGGCTCAAGACGGCCCAAGAGGCCCCCAAGATCAACCAAGAGGCCCCTAAGAGGGCCCCATGACGGCCCAAGTGGCCTCCAAAATGGCCCCGAGATGGCCCCAAGACGGCCCAAGAGGCCTCCGACACGCCCAAGATGGCCTCCAGGACGCCCAAGATGGTCTCCAAAACGGCCCCGAAGCGCCCCAAGAGGGTCCCCCGTGGGCCCAGAAAAGGCCCCCAAGACGGCTCCCGACTGCGTCAGACGTGCCCGGGGCCCACCAAGATGGCCGAAGTTGGCTCGAAACTGGCCCAAAAGAGCCCATGAGGCCCCCAAGAGGGCCTCCAGGAAGGCCAGAAGATGCCAAAAACATTGATCGCCCTTGGGCTTTCGACGGATTTTGACATGTCCTTCTTTTCGGCCTTCCGACGGCCCGAGACGGCCCAAGAGCCCCCAGAGATCGCCGAAAGATCGCCCAAGAGGCCTCCAAGACGGCCACGATGACCTTCAAGACGCCCGCGCGTTCCCCGAAGGCTTTCCAAACCGATTCGGGGAACGCGTGGCCCGATGGCTTGGCAGGTCTGGCCTCCACGTTCGGCCACATAGGCGCTTCCATAAAGGCAGGGGGCGGCGGTGATTCGCCGTAGGCTTCTTCGATCCGCCGCCCCCTGTCGATTCATCGCAGGGGTGCCTGGCGTGCTGGATCCTTTCGGTTATGGTTCTGGTTTTTTGTCCAAAAGACCCCCCCCCCTGGGGCTTCACCCCATCCCGCCGGGGTCCCGGGGGGATCTTCCAGGAGCGCAAACTCCATGGCAAATCCTCCCTGAAACGGCCGTGTCGCTGGGGACACTCTCAACACATCGCGAAGATGGCCCAAGATATCCTCCAAGTCCGCCCAAGATGGTCCAAGACTGCAGACGGCCTCAGAGAGTCCAAGACGGCCCAATAGGCCCCCCAGAGGCTCCCCAGAGGCATCCAAGACGGCCCAAGAGGCCTCCAAGAGGTCCTCCAGGAGGGCCCGAAGAAGCCAAAATCATTGCTTTTCCACAAGTTTTGATTCCAGGAGGGGCGTTTGGCGAGGGCGTCGGAGACAGCTGATTGCTTTCCAAGCAAGAGGGTGTTGGACACTGCCAGCTCAATCTTGAAATTCAAAGTGCGTGTCGCGACACGCCGTGAACACGCAGGTCAGGCCACGAGATTCGAACTGAATTGCACTCCCCATAGGTTAAGGGGCGGGGTAGAGGGAGCCAGAAAAAGACTACATAGCAGAAACGCACCCTCACGACGCTCAACCCTCTGAGGAATCAACCACCAGCGAGCAAATATATGAATCCAGGAGGGGCGTCTGGCGGGGGTGTCGGAGACAGCTGATTGTTTTCCAAGCAAGAGGGTGTTGGACACTGCCAGCTCAATCTTGAAATTCAAAATGCGCGTCGCGACACGCCGCGCACACGCAGGTCAGGTCACGAGATTCGAACTGAATTGCACTCCCGTAGCAAGACCCACAACAGGGATGCACACGGGCGGTGGCGGGGGCAGGGCGGCAGACAGAACGGGAAGATGGAAAAAAACAAACAAAAAAACAAGAAACAAGCAAACGCATAAAATCTCTCTCTCTCTCTCTCTCTCTCTCTCTCTCTCTCTCTCTCTCTCTCTCTCTCTCTCTCTCTCTCTCTCTCTCTCTCTTTTTTAATAAAAAAAAACGAGAGTGGCTCATCAAAGCCGCCTCGGGCGGACAGAACCACAGAAAAGTCCTTTCAAGTTGCAGTGGGCCCATTCACAATGCTGGCGGCTAGCTGGCTTCAACCGATTGAGAGTTTGCTGAATCTTGCCTGGCTTAGCATAACGACGAACCGTATCGCGACACTTTACTCTGACACGCGACTGAATCTCACTCAAAGTGCGGCGCCGCTTCAGGAGATCATCCGAGGCGCCGCCGTGGCGCAACTGGCACAGGGGCTCCTCGACGCCCAACCTGTCGGCAGCGGCCTGGGAGAGGCGGGCGACCCTCGCGGCCTCCAGCGGGAAGAGCTCGCGGTCGTCCGCCGCGTTCGCAGCCCAGGAACCCAGCACCTCGCCCAGCCACTCGGGGTGGTCGAAGATGACGGCGTCGTCGAAGGTCTGGGTTTTTGACGGCTCCAGCCGCTCCTCAGGCGCCACAATCAGAAACCAACGCCGCAACGCAGCCTCCTCCGACACCCCTGGCCTCACCAAGTCGCCCACCTTAGCACGAAGAAGCCCCCCAGGACGGAAGGACCCCGAAAACGCGTCCTCGACGTAGAGGGCCGCGGACCGCTCACCGTCGTAGATCAGGAGGGCGCAGATGCCCGACTTCACCTCGATCGACAGCGGCATCCTGCTGACAGGCGGGAGTCGCTTTCGGCATCCTTTTAGAGCCCGTTGGAGCCGAGGATAATCCCGTGCCTTTCCAGGGGCTTCACGTAGTCGGCTAGGAGCTCGTCCAAGTAGTCGAGCAGGTTCACCTCGATCTCGTCGCGGTCGTCGATGGCCCTGCCTCGGCGCCGCTGCCGCTCGCGGAACAGGTTCTCGAAGTGCTGGTAGGCGGCCGAGCCCTTGGCGCCGACCGTCGCGAGCTCGCAGGCGGCGAGCTCCCCGCCCTGCGCCCGCCGCCCAAGACTCGGGGGCAGCGGCCGCGCGGCAGGAGAGGGGGCCGCGGCGGGCCTCCGCCGGGTGGCGCCCTGCCGGCGGACGGGGCCGCTGGCGGGGCGGCCCGCGCGCCTTCCCTCCTGTCGGGTTCCAGCGGATCCGCGGGAAGTCGATGGCTCGGCGGCTGCTCGACAGGCCGCCAAGCTCTGCTCCCGCCGCAGGCGCTTCATACAACGCCGCCCGCGCCTCCCCGAGCTTCTCGAAGAGGCGGGGCGGCTCGTCGGCGGGGTTGTATTCACTCGGAATCCAGCGGAGCGCCACCCATGCGCCCGTCGCAATCGAGAGGGCAGCCAGGCGGCGGACCAGCTGCAGGAGCCCGAAGGAGGCCGCGCGCCCTCTTGAGAAACAAAAGGGCTACGCCGAAGTTGTCGACAAGGACGAGGCGCCTCTTGCGGTGCTGGCAGCGGTCCCGAAGTTTGAGACTCATACCTTCGATGACGGCCCTACCTTCCTTGTTACCGATCGGCTCCTCAAACCTGTACCTTCCAGCCCTCCAGCACTTCCAGGAACGCCCCGGGATCGCGGCCTTCGGAACCTCGGGGAAGCCAGTTCGAGGCCGCCAGGCGAACTCCGAGGGGGCCCCGCCGAGCGCGTCGAGGTCCCAAGGGCCCGCGTCGCACGTCGCAGGGTCGACGAGGGGGTCGAGCTCGGCCGCCAGCGCACGACGACGAGGCGCCCACTCCGACGGGGGCAGACGCTCGTGCCTCCAGCGCTCGTTCCACCTCCCGATCTCCCCCACCTCCTCTCTGTCGAAGCCGGCCTCCATCACGCCCCGCCCGCTCCCCGAGGCGCCCGTCGCCAGCGCAGAAGTAGACCGCGGGCGCCCAAAGTTACCTGAGAGCAGGGGGGCCAGGCTGGGGCAGACCAGGAGCTCACGGCAGACGGAGTCCCACAGGGGCCTCGGGGTCAGTAGCAGTCCCGAATGCAGACGTAGGAGGCCCGCAGGACCGACAGCGCGGGCCGCTGGCTGAGGCCCTCGACGACGCAGTGGCCCAGGAGGCGCTCCAGAGCCCTGCCAGAGATGGACCCACCCCGAGCGGCATGCCGAAGAGCTCCCCGAAGAGTCCAGGCCCGTTTGGGCCCCGCGCGGACCGCCCGTCGCAACCCGTCGAAGGCGGTGCCCAGGATATCCGAAGATGTTGAGGCCCAAGAGATCTCGCGAAGCACGAAGCCCTTCCCCTCGAACACCCCGATGAGCTCGCGAAGTCGCTGATCGACGCGGTCCCTGGACACCCCGAAGACAGTTAGGTTGTCGCAGCAGGGGGGGGGGGGGAACTGGATCGTCGGACAACGGAGGGGCAGGCCAAGCATTCGACATTATCAAGCCCTGGCCGAACCCAGCCTCGCGGAGCAACTCGGCATGCAGAGCCTGGACGATGTGGGAAGACCAGGTCCAACCCATCGGCAGCACGAGCAAGCACAGGAAGACCTCCCCGACATCTGGCAACGACATCCCCCACACGTCCGAGGTCGCACCCCACTTCTTTGCAAGGCTGGCGCCCACGGCTTCGAAGCTGAAGTACTCGCTCAGCGCAGACGGCACCCAACACTGGTAAACAACAACTATGTATATCACCCGTGGCGACGAAGACAGGCGACGCTTCGTCTGGCGCCTCGAGCCCATGCATGTTCTCGGGAGAACTCATCTCAGGCTTAGGGGGGTGACGGAACAACTGGTTGACCCTTCGGCAGTCCAGGGCGAGCCCCTGGCGGCCCTGTTTCTTTGTCGCGCAGAACGGTGTAATCTTGCCCTTCTAGGCCCTGCAGAACCCCTAGACTTCACAATCATACAGGCTTTTGAGGAACTTGAGACGAACATCTTCATCACCTCTGATTCTGACATCCGTATTGGACCCGACGGGCTCGTGGCGAAGACGGTGCTCGGCCACGTCAGCATCGGCCAAGATGTTGTCAAGGTCGAGGCTGCGGCCGAGCTCGGGAGAGACAAACTCAGTCAAGACGACGGGCGACACCTGCCCCTCTGGCAAGGACACCTTCGTCGGGTCGCAAGGCTCGACCGCGCATGCAAGCATCTCGTAACCCGCACTTACACTAGCCAACTCACGAAAAGAGGCGTGGTCAGTTTGTACATGATCGGGCATGCCCGAAGCGATGGAAGAGAACAGGTGCTGGAGAATTGCACTAGGCAAAAGGACTGCAGCCGCCCACGGCCTTAGTCCCGTCACGCTGCGTCGGCGCCACCAGCTCCTGCGGGTCGCGCCCGAAGAGCAAGTTCAGGCTGTCGACCGCCTCCTGCGCCGCCGACTGGACGGCGTTCCAGCGCTCGAGGCGCAGCCGAGCCTCCCTCCCCGTACCGGCACCAGGGCGCTGAGCACGAGGAATGTCAGGCAGGGGAAAGAGACCACGGCCACGCCGATCCCCTGCTGCTTCTTGCCCTCGGCGAGGCCAGGCCTCAGGGCGACGCACTCCAAAATCGCGGTCGGAGCAGACCCCATCAGACCTCAAGCCAGCTATCATGTCAGAGACGGGGGCGGCTACTGGCGGCACCGCCCCCGCCCCCTGCTTCATTTCTTGGCGGAGGCCGCGGGGTCTGCCTTGGCCTTCGCCACAGCGACGCCTGCAGCCCTGGCCTCCCGTGCCTTCCGCTTCTCCTTCAGAATCGCTGCCTCTTTGCTGAGCTCGGTTGCGACATGGGCCCGAAGCGAAGGCGCCATCTGGGCCCCTCCCGAGCGCTCGCCGATCCTCAGGTAGTGGTCCGACCCCTCGTAGCTCGGCGCCTCGGGGTTCTCAGCCACGGCCTCCTCATGCATGGTGATCCGCCTCAGGAGGAGCTCGACGCCGACGAGGTTCTTCACGTTGAGCCCGTCCACCGTCGCCAGGAGCTGCACGGCCCTGCGGAGGATCGCGTGCTCGTCGGCGGCCGAGCTGTGGGTCCTGACGCCGATCTCACGCCGCCACATGCTGGCGCGGTCGATCAGGCTGGCCACGCCATCCCTGACCACCGAGTCGACCCGCTCGGCTCCGATGGCGGGCCCCTGCAAAGGAGAGGCAAGGAGGCCCTCCGCCTTCCGCGCGCAGGCCGTCATCGTGCCCACGGCGTCGACCAGGGTCCGCTCCGTCGGGGACCGCGCCAGGATCCTCGGGTCGTCGCAGAGGAAGTTGCTGCGCGCCAGGGCCCAGCGAGTGATGTCGGCGCCTTCGGCCAGCTGCTCGAGCGCGGCGACGCCCCCGTCGATCACCACGAGGGCACGGGTCCCCAGCACCGCAGCCCCTGCAAGCAGCGTGAACTCCTCGCCGACGTCGTGGCCCACGAGCGGCTCCGCGAGGACCCACGCCCCGCCTGCTGGGACGAGGCGGGGGGCCCCAGGCGCCGGGGCGACGGCGGGCACGGGCGTCGCCACCGCGGCGGCGCCTCCTGGCGCTCGGGCCGCCTCGCCCAACAGCGGGAGCCCACGGTGGGCCCGCTCCAGGTTGCATACCTGGTCCGCCTCCGCCAGCCGCTCGTTGACCTCGGCGGGCGTGAGCGCCGCGAAGGTGTAGAGCACGTTGCCAGGGGCGGGGGCCCCTCGCGGCCGCACGTCGACCGAAGCCGAGCGCGCTGGCGCACCGACGCGGCCAGAGCCGCCCCAGCGCAGCCTGGGCTCGACCGAGCCCGAACCTGGCGAGCTCCCACGCGAGGAGCGTGACGAGGCCGAACGAGACCTAGACGCCCCAGTGGAAGTCGACCTTGGCCGCCTCGGGGCACGGCGGGCAAGGGTCGGGGCACTTGACCTGAGGCGCAGGTGCCAGGCACGCCTCCAGCTCCGCGCGCACTTCCTGGGCCAGCGCGGGTGTGGGCGGCACCGCGGCCGCAGGACAGCCCCGCGCTGGCGGGGCGGGCGCCGGCGCCTCCACGGGCGGCGCCGGGGGCGGGGCGCGCGGCGCGCGAGCGGCCGCCCACAGCTGCCCGATCCAGGCCGAACCGACGTGGAAGGCCAAGAGCACCACGCCCTGGGCCGCCGCGCGCATCCAACGCCCTGAAGGCCGCGGTGGTCGGTGGCTCAGCCAAAATGACTTGAGCCAGAAAAGACTACAGATCAGAAACACACCCTCACGACGCTCGACCCTCTGAGGAATCAACCACCAGCAAGCAGTTATATGATGGATTTTGGAATTTGCTTCTTCTCGGCATCCGACGGCTCAAGACTGCCCAAGAGGCCCCCAAGGTCGCCCAAGAGGCCCCCAAGAGGGCCCCATGACGGCCCAAGTGGCCTCCAAGATGGTCCCAAGAGGGCCCCAAGACGGCCCAACACGCCCAAGATGGCCTCCAAGACGCCCAACATGGCCTCCAAGACGGCCCCGAAGCGCCCCAAGAGGGTCCCCCGTTGGCCCAGAAAGGCCCCCAAGACGGCTCCCGACGGCGTCAGACGTGCCAGGAACCCACCAAGACGGCCGAAGTTGGCTCGAAGCTGGCCAAAGACGGCCCAAGAGGCCCCCAAGAAGGCCACCAGGAAGGCCAGAAGAGGCCAAAAACATGGATTTTCCTTAGGTGTTTGACGGATTTGACATTTCCTTCTTTTCGGCCTTCCGACGGCCCGAGACGGCCCAAATGCCCCCAAAGATTGCCGAAAGATCGCCCAAGAGGCCTCCAAGACGGTCAAGATGACCTTCAAGATGCCCACGTGTTCCCCGAAGGCTTTCCAAACCGACTCGGGGAACACATGGTCCGATGGCTTGGCAGGTCTGGCCTCAACGTTCGGCCACATAGGCGCTTCCAAAAAGGCAGTGGGCGGCGGTGGTTCGCCGTAGGCGTCTTCGATCCGCCGCCCCCTGTCGATTCATCGCAGGGGTGCCTGGCGTGCTGTACCCTTTCGGTTTTGGTTTTGGTTCTTTTTCCAAAAGAACTCCCTCTGGCGCTTCGGCCCGTCCCGCCTGGGTCCAGGGGAGGACCATCCAGGACCCCACAGTCCACAAAAAAAATCATCCAAGACGGCTCAAGATGGCCTCCAAGATGGCCACGTTGGCCCAAGATGGCCTCCAAGATGGTCCAAGATGGCCTCCAAGTCTCCCAAGATGGTCCAAGACGGCCTCCAAGACGGCCAAAGAGAGTCCAAGACGGCCCAAGACGGCCCAAGAGGCCCCCCAGAGGCCTCCAAGACGGCCCAAGAGGCCTCCAAGAGGTCTTCCAGGAGGGCCCGAAGAGGCCAAAATCGTTGATCTTCCCTATGGTTTTGAAGGATTTGGGGATTTGCTTCTTCTCGGCATTCCGACGGCTCAAGACGGCCCAAGAGGCCCCCAAGATCGCCCAGGAGGCCCCCAAGAGGGCCCCATGACGGCCCAAGTGGCCTCCAAGACGGTCCCAAGAGGGCCCCAAGACGGCCCAAGAGGCCTCCAACACGCCCAAGATGGCCTCCAAGACGCCCAACATGGCCTCCAAGACGGCCCCGAAGCGCTCCAAGAGGGCCCCAAGTCGGCCCAGAAAGGCACCCAAGACGGCTCCCGACGGCGTCAGACGTGCCAGGAACCCACCAAAATGGCCGAAGTTTGCTCAAAGCTGGCCCAAGACGGCCCAAGAGGCCCCCAAAAAGGCCTCTAGGAAGACCAGAAAAAGCCAAAAACATGGAATCTCCTAAGGTATTTGACGGATTTTGACATTTGCTTCTTTTCGGCCTTCCGACGGCCCGAGACTGCCCAAGAGCCCCCAAAGATCGCCGAAAGATCACCCAAGAAGCCTCCAAGATGGCCCCAGAACGGCCCAAGAGGGCCCCAAGACGGCCCCAAGAGGCCCCCAAGACGGCACAGGAGGCCTTTATGACGCCCAAGGTGGCCTCCAAGACGGCCCTGGAGCATTCCACGAGGGCCCCGAGTCGGCCCACAGAGGCCCCCCAAACGGCTCCCGACGGCGCCAGACGGATCAGGAGCCGACCAAGACGGCCGAACATGGCCCTAAGATGGCCCAAGACGGCCCAAGAGGCCTCCAAGAGGGCCTCCAGGAAGGCTCGAAAAAAACCAAAATCATTGATTTGCCATTGGTTTTTGAAGGATTGTGGCATTTGCTGTTTTCTGCCTTCGACGGCCCGAGACGGCCCAAATGCCCCCAAAGATCGCCCAAGAGGCCCCCAAGACGCGGCCCCAAGAGGCCCCCAAGACGGCCCAAGAGGTCTCCAAGACGCTCAGGATAGCCTCCAAAACGGCCCGAGAGCCCTCCAAGACGTCCTCCAAGAAGACCCGAAAAGGGTCAGAATGGCCTCCAGACGGCCAAGATGACCTTCAAGATGCCCACGTGTTCCCCGAAGGCTTTCCAAACCGATTCGGGGAACACATGGTCCGATAGCTTGGCAGGCCTCTGGCTTCAACGTTCGGCCACATAGGCGCTTCCAAAAAGGCAGTGGGCGGCGGTGATTCGCCGTAGGCGTCTTCGATCCGCCGCCCCTTGTCGATTCATCGCAGGGGTGCCTGGCGTGCCGAACGATATGGCTTTTCGTTCAAAAAAACTCCCCCCAATCGCTCCGCCGTCGCCACAAACGGCCGGCTCGCTCGGGACATCCTCAAAAATTCGCCGGCCCAACGGGCCAGAGGCGTGCTAAGATCTCCGGTAACTGCTAAATAATACTTTTACTTCGCGCGCGCGGGGCGGCCCCTGGGGGTCCCCGGACGAAAAGTACCCCGGGCGATCCCCGGCAGACTCGGGTCAGAGGTGGGTTTCCTCCTGGGCGCCGCCCCCGTGGCCCCCCAGAAAGCCCCAAGAAGGGCCACGAGGCCGCCAAGAGCCCTCCAAGATGGTTCAAGAGTGTTCCGAGATGCCACACGATCGTTCCAAGACGCCCAAGATGGCCCCCGGACGGCCCAAGAGGCCTCCAAGAGCACTCCCCAGAGGGCCCCAAGAGGCAAAATTCATTACTTGTCCTTAGGTTTTGGGCAGATTTTGGCGTGTCCATCTTTTCGGCTTCCCGACGCCCCAAGACGGCCCAAGAGGCCCCCAAGATCGCCCCAAGAGGGCCCAAGAAGCTCCCAAGAAGGCCCCAAGATGACCCAAGAGGGCTCCAAGACGGCCCCAAAGGCATCCAAGACGGCTCAAGAGGGACCCAAGAGGGCCCCAAGCGATGCCCCAAAGGGGGAACACAAAACAAAACTTCGAGCCCGCGGCCTTAAGAAGCCCCCAGGAGGCCCCAAGAGGCCCCTGAGAGGCCCAAAAGCCCCCAAGAGGCCCTCAGGAGGCCCCCAAGCGACGCTGAGGAGGCCCCCCAGCGGCCCCAAGAGGCTCAGTCATGCGAAATGGGCCGGCGGAGTGAGCGAAGCGATTCAATTACGCTACCGAGGAACCGCACGTACTTAATTCAAATATTACGCGTTTGCTTTTTCATTATCATCTATTCGCATTCCTGCGTTCTAAACCTCGTCGCGAATGTTCCCTATATTGTCATCCATCACACTACTGACTGAACATCCTCTCTCTTCCCCGCCTCCCATCCTTCATCGGGAAAAAGTTCGGGGTGGTCACCGAGGGCCGTTTCCTGGGGTCGCAACAAGTAATGACGTGACGAAGAACGATTTGCCACAGCTCGAGTAGTCAGGGGGCCCACTGTGGAAGTTGGTGCAAATCGCACCCCTTGCACAGCTGCTCTACGGAGCCTCTAGAATGATCCGTTCTCCCTCGCCTCATGCTGCGTTCTTCCGCACCCTTGCCTCCCTTTCTTTCTTCGGTCGGTCTACTTTGTCTAGCCCCATGCAGGTTCCACGCGTCTGTCGCCGCGTCTCTTCGACGGAGAGTCTCTGAGGTGCGCGCGCAAAAGGCTTGCGTGGCAAACGTGGCCCGCCTGCGTGCAAAATGCGAGCGCCCTTCGATGGAAAATCTCTGGGCTGCGGTTGCCGCGACACCCAAAGTTGGGCGGGCGCTCCGGAATCGCCCAGGGGCGGCGCGGGCCGCGCGATTTCGACGCGGCAGGGCAGCGCCGCCTTCGTCGGAAAGACTCCGGCGGCCGTGCGCTCCAATGACCTCGCGCCGCCGGCAAGATTCATTGGCGTTCTCCTCGATCTCCCGCGTCTCCGTAGCCATGCGCTCGTCAAACTTCTGGAGGGCTTTGAGCACGGACGGAGGTGGGCCCTTCTGTAAGACCCCCCGTGGCGGCGGCCGAAGCAAGAGCATGTCTTCCATGCAAGTAGCTCTGCTGAGCATCGCGCACAGGTGGAGCCACCTGGTCCCCCCTCTTTCCTCCGGTTTGCCAATGCTCGTGTCCTGCGCGCAGTCGATGGTCACCCCGGTGCGGATCGTCTGGCCCTGTGACGCGGTGGGCGCCAGGAAGCGCCCGTGCATGAGCGCGTGCCCGAACCTCTTGACCCGGTGCGTTTTGTTGGCGCTTGTCCACTTGAAGTTCGCCTCCATGAGCGGGAAGCAGAACAGGCCTTTCGCCTTCTCCTTGTCGATTCCGAAAGAGTTGGCGAGGGCGGCGACAACGTCCGGGCTCTGCTTCTCAAACTTGTGCACCTGCAACCAGATTCCGGCAGGCAGAAAGCGCGGGCGGAAGATCTCCCCTGGCGCGCACGCGTCGTACCTGACCTGGTCGCTGCTCTCGAACACGAAGTTCACTAACCCCATGCCGATGAGAATAAAGTGCCCCCCCCTCCCCCCCATAAGTCGTTAGAGTGTTTTATCGTCGACCAATAAGAGTTTGGTCGGGG